AATGACCCCTAGCCGTTTCTTTTTTCGCGCGCCATCGGTCAAAAAACCGGTGCAAAGAACTTCGAAATATGCTGTAACTGGGTAGCTACATATATGTACATATTACATTAGACCGTACCAGAAAAAAGGGTCGCTGTAAACCTCCGAGTCCTAACGTATTTTTGCAAAACGAATTCGAATTTTCTTTTTTTACTGAATGTAAGTAGGCGTAGCAGAAAAAAGTAAAAATGCGACCCCTACGTTCGGACAAAAGAAACCCTTTTTCGAAATTACCTTGAACTTTTTAATTTTTTATTTTTGCTTGCAACGCGGCACTGTCTAATGTACACAACTCTCGTTTAGTAGAGTAAAGGAATAAAGTTTATCCTTGCCATCAGCATAGAGTAAGTCATATCACCTCACCTCATTGAAATTACCGACGCAGTCGAGCGGAAAAAATTACTGAACGACAACTACATGCAAACTTTATCATCAGCGCATTTGCAGCTGACTGGCATTTTCTTCTTCATCCTTCCATAACTGTTGACCACTGAAGCTGCTTCTTCTTGCTATTCAATGTTTATTTTATTAAAACTACATTTAAAATGCAGACAGCAGCATTCTTTATTTTATTTAAGTATATCAAGTTAAAGTGAAATATACATATGTATGTATAGGCAGCAGCTTGTTGATTTATGCGGTCAGTCAAAGAATAATTTTTGTTCAGCACCCGCAACTCCGCTCGCCCACTAAATTGTCGGCGGTTACTTGGATCCACGGCTGCCGCTGCTCGGTTGATTGACTGTTTGCTGGCGGTTACAGTGATGGGGTCGGTGGTGCCGATACAAATTTCTTTCATCTTTTCCATTCACTGCGATTCTGCTGGTTCATTGAGTTGTTATGCCTTACCATGCTTTATGGCACGCAACATAAATAAGTGAATGTGAATGCTTTATAGGGGAAAGTTGTGCAAAAATTACACATTTCCTCTGCAGGCGACGGTAGAATGAATCGACCAATGTGTTGATGAAAGCATTGCCAATAATAAAAGGAGCCGAATTGCTGACAAGCTGAGCTGAGAAGAGACAAAAGCATTAACGGAAAATGGGCAACGTACACAGCACGATTGAGAGAATACAAAGGTTGCGCCGATCTCGGTACCGCTATTTTTCTCTTAACGAATTTGACAGAATCAGCTGTTTGTATGACGTCACACTGGTGCAATTGTTGATTTTGAACTTAACAATTTATTTGTGTGTTATTTCTGCGAGATTTTAAGCAATTCAAAGTGATTATTTAAACTTTATAAACTTATATTAAGGCAAAATGAAGTGTGCAGTGGCAAATTGTGATAGTGAAAACTATAGGCAAGCGTGCGATATAAGCTTTTTTTCGTTTCCTACGGACGAAGCTCTCGCCAGAAAGTGGATGCAGTTTTGCCGGCGAGGAAGTGCATTATTGAATCCCAAATCGAGCTACGTGTGCATGAAGCACTTTTCTAGTGAAGATATAGAAAACAATCGACAGTTCGAAATGGGTAATATATTGTGTATTTTCTAAATTCGTTCCATTTAATGTTATTGTTGCAAACGCTTTAGGATTTGCAAAAAAACGCCTTTTAAAGCGTGGTGCTGTGCCCAGCATTTACCCAGAGGATGGGGAAACCTCCCAGCGTGCCGAAAGTGTTCAGCGCGAGGAGTACAAACAAATTGTCAGCGAGTTACTTCAGCAGAGTGAACCTGTCGCAGTCAATGAAGGTAACAATTTGATTTTAAAGAAAGTTTCGACTTATATTTGCAAATAAGTTGTTATAGCCGAGGCGAATAACAGTGCCAACGTTGTTCCGATTGACGAAAATGTGGAGAATAAGGAAAATAGCCTAGTGGATGCAAATCTTTCCGAAATCCCCGCGACTTCAACACCTCGTAAAGTCTTCTACTACGACAGCAGTTTGGAAGAAGTTGAGGAGCTGGAAGCTCAACTGTGAGTTTGTAAAAGCAATAAGGCAATCTAAACATGTTGGCATATTCTTGTGTTTAAAGTTTTAATTTTGTTACACGTAGAAAAAGACTTAAGCGAGAAAACAAGACTCTGTTAATGAATAACAAAAAGAAGGACATGGAACTGGCGGCACTCCAGCAAAAGTACGGTAATGAGAAAAAGAAGCATGACTATGAGGTGGAACAGCTGAAAAAACGCTTGGATGAATCCGAAGATATGTGTAAAAACATGGAGAGCAAACTGCTGACCATTTTCACGAAGGGTCAGGTTTCGAAACTGAAGCACGACATTAAGAAACCTACTTGGAGTCAAGAAGACATCGCGAATTCCATCACGTTGTACGCCGCAAGTCCGAAAGCATTTAAACTAATGTACAAAAAAGGTTTTCCGCTACCTGGCGTTCGCACGCTACAAAGTTGGGCACAAAAAATCGACGTATCCAGAGGTTTAATAAAGCCGGTATTTAAATTATTAAATGCCTCCACGCAAATGGATACCATTCAAAAGGTGTGTGTTTTGAGTTTCGACGAGATGAAGGTCAGGCAGACTTACTGTTATGATACCTCGTCGGACTCAACACTGGAACCTGTCAGCTACGTGCAGGTAGCGATGCTCAGAGGTAGATATATCTTGCGATAAACATTTAATAAAATTTAAATTATTACATTCATTTTATTCGTCAGGACTCGTATCTAAATGGAAACAGCCGGTATTTTACGACTTCGACTGCAAAATGACGAACGACGTGCTTTGTAATATATTACAAAAAACTAAAGATTGCGGGTACAACGTTGTGGCGGTTGTGTGCGACCTTGGCGGTACAAACAGGTCCCTGCTAAACGAGCTTGGAGTGCATGAAGAGAGGCCGTGGTAAGTTTAACAAATTATAAATTGATTTTTTGGTTTATTTCACATTTTGTAACACATTACGCCATTACAGGTTTGTTTTTGACGAACAGCAAATTTTCACGTTTGCAGACGTTCCTCACATGCTTAAGCTACTGCGCAATCACTTCCTTGACCAAGGGTTTATGATAAAAGGCAAAGAAGTGAAGAAAGAAGTAATTTTAGAGTTATTGTCATGTACCTCGAAGGATTTGACAATAACTCATAAAATTTCAGCAAACCACATCAACGTAGCTGGACCCCAAAGGCAAAAAGTGAAAACGGCTGCAAAATTGTTTTCACACACAGTGGCGCAGGCAATTACGAGGGCAGCAGGCTTGGGGCATTTAAGTAGCCACAACTGGAATGAGTGCTCTGAATTATTTAAATTGGTAAGATTTGTACACATTTATATATTTACGTATATTTTAAACTATATCACTTCAAATATACCATTTTAAGACTAACGATTGGTTTGACGTGATGAACGTCAGGGTTCCACACGCAGACTCAAGAACACGGTGCCACGCCTACGGTCTAGCAATTGATGAGCAGGTCAAAATATTAGACGCTATGACGGAAATGGTCAAAAATATGAGGGTGATAGGAAGACAAACTTTGCTACCATTTCAAAGAGGTAAATTCGTATATTTAGACACATACATAAAGCAAATAAAATACATATTAACATTTATATACACACACACACGCACACACACATACACATATATATATACATATATATATATACATATGTGCCTTTAAACAAATATTGTGTAATATTTATGGACGCATATTTACTTGCAGGTATCATACAGTCGAACAACGCGCTCAAGATGTTGTATGGAAGCGTTCAAAGCCGGTTCAATGTTAAATATATTTTAACATATCGCTTGAACCAGGATGTGCTGGAAAATTTCTTTGGAGTAATTCGAGCCAAGGGCGGTTTGCATGACCACCCGGACCAGCAAGAATTCAAATATCGTCTACGAGGATATTTGCTTGGACGCAATGAAGGCGTGATATCGAATGCAGCAAATGTGGAAGAAGACGATACACCCGACTTAGAAATGTCGCAGCCCCCTCTTACAGGTAATGAAAATTTATTGTTAGCTAGAATAGAATACATTTTAATCTTTACTTGTATAGGTGCCATACTGAAAAACGTTGTTTCGGAAAAATGGCCTATCGATATAGAGCCACCAGAGTTTGAGGATCTAGAGTACGATGGTCTAGAAAATTTAGCCGGATACATATGCCACCGATTGCGAGACGATATCCCCAGCACCTCACTCAAAGGCGCAGATGATCCCTCCTACACATGGGTAAATCACTTAAGTGAAGGAGGATTATCTGTACCTAGCAGCAGTATGATGGAACATATAAGCAATCTAGAATCAGTATTCAGAGCAATGAACGAAGATGGTTTGCTCATTACAAATGATTTTGTAAAAAAACATATTGAGCAGGCCTCTAGTATAAATTGCGACATTAAAATAAAAAAAATATTTTTTAGGGCGAGAATGTTTTTTACGTTAAGAAAACTTAATAAAAAACTAATTGAAAACGCCCGCACAAAAAAAAGAAAATATACAAAAATACTGACCTAGATTTGCTTGTATTGGTCCAGAAAACTGAAACTGTCTGATGTCGCTTCATATTAATGTTCTTTTAATGTTCAAGGTATAGTGTCTGACAAAATATCAATAATTTTTAAATCTAACGTTTCTTTAAAATTTTTCCTTTTTATCTTTTGCAGTTCGTAACGAGAACGGTTCTTCAGTTCATCCGTTTAATATAAAGGCCCTTTTCAGGGCCGCAAGTATTAAACAAAGAGATAAAAATTCTACTTATATCTGTGGTCATAAGCAATAGCCGCCTAAGTCGAGTACAGCCTCATGCATGCAATTGGCATACAATTCTTAAGTCGACTTAGACGGTTATTGTTTGCAACAAAACACATATCGCACACCATCTTCTGAAGAGGTACAACTCAAAAATCAGAAAAACATATTTGCATTCATATGGATTGATTTATGCGTAAAAATCTACGAAAATTTGTTTGAGTTGTGCCCCTTTTACAGATGGTGTGCGATATGCATACGACAATAGCACAACTAAAAACAATAACAATATACGTACATAAATAAGTTTTTTATTGCAATCTTCCAATTAAACCATTAAAAACATCATTTATAAATAACTTATGAAAAACTTTGTGCTTTTGTATTTTCCCAGATATGATCGCCGATAATAGAATGGATGGATGAGTCGTCGTTCATTATCTGTGCACAATTCTTGCTTGAAGGCATGTAAACATTGCGAATATTACCAAAAAAATAGCGAATGCAACGAAAACTTTTATCAGAAATATTTCAGAAAAACATACCTATTATTTAATAACTATTTCAGAATTTTAGAATAAAAATCTTATACTACCAGAAAAAACGCAGTGTATCTTGTTTAGACAATTTTCGTTAATGCCTTGGCGCGCCGATCGGTATTTTGGAAAAGTGCTCGTATGAGATGCTTAATTTCTTCTGCCTTATAGTTTGCCGTTAAAATACCGGCACCTTCACACCACTGCTCGGTGATTTCTTGCAACGAAGCATTCAGTATCATTTTGAATTGCTCAAGTTTTATCCAAGATTTAATATGTATCACTTCATGTTTGTGCTGCAGGAAGTACAAAAAAAATAGCATTTGATTCGCATCATTGCATCCCATCAGAAATTTACCTTGAATAAAGTTGGCACCTTCTCCAATATGACACCGATTAGCTCACTCAACTCACTTGCCACTGTTGCCGAAATGTCCTCCATTGCGAGTATACGTCGTATTATTTCATTACAAAAATCATGTATAATATCGCAAAATGTCTTGTTATAAATTGCATCGGGTAACACATTCTGCCAAACATTTTTCAACAAATCTAATTGACGCAAACACTGACGCAATAATTTCAACGGCGCAGTGCCAACTGTGTGTGCATCGGAAATATCTGCAAGAGAATACAAATATTTTTTATATAAAAGGTTATACAATAGGCACTTGTTTCAAGTATCTATGCACAAAATTACCAAATTCTTTGAGTATGCCCATGATAATCTTTTGCTGATAATTGATTTGTACATTCAAATATTTGCTTCCATTCATATGTAGGGTCTTAACCAATGCTGGGTATGTGGGTATGCCCTTTTCTGAATTCGAGGTCACCCAATGTGCTAAAAATTGGCAATTATTATAGAACAGAGCAGATTGCTGTGGTATGCTTTCTGTAGTCCAATGAAACTGGCTTCAAAATTAGTGGCTTTAAACAGTTTTCCAGCAGAAAATCGCATATCTTAATGGGATTATAACGCGCCTGAAAATAATATAAGGTACTGAATTAAGTTTATACTAAACTATTAATCTCTAGCTACTTGCTTGGAACAACGCCATCACAGTATCTTGCAATTGATTAACATCCTTCGATACCTGCAGCGACATTTCACGGAATTCGTCTATACACGCACCCAGCTCTGAGTTGGCTTGGCGCAGTGCGGCATTTGCTTCGCTGCCAATTGTCTGCAGCAAGTGCTCAGACTCACTCACTAATTGCTCACCTTCATCAAGGTACGCTTCGGAAGTTGTATTATTATTATTTAGATTGTATTATTATTATTTAGAATACCTTTGATAATACTTTTCAAAGATTTCATCTTCGACTAACTCGTGGGAGCGTTGATTCTGAAAAGGCAAACATTTTTAACACATACATTTGTCCCAACATTATTTTTCATACTTACCCTAAAGACTATATGCACAACACCACAACAATGCTTTCATCTTTAATTAAAGCTAATATATATGCTTAATATCTATAAATTTTCCTATTTTAATGTGTTATGAATAAATTTTTTCGTATTGTTTACGTTTTTCGTGCAAAATGTCTTCTTCTTCTTGCATTCTTGTTCGCGTTTTGACATTGCTCTCTCGCAGCTGCACCAGTGTGACGTCACCGAAAAATTACGCTCAAAAATCCTCTCTGATCGGCGCAATCTTGTATTCTATCATTCTTGCGTACACAGCTACATATGTAAGGTAAGCTCTACACGCCTCATCAGCCAATGGTCACACATTGGTGACTTGACCGTCAGTTAGATGAATAAACTCCAACGCAGAAAGAAAGCCGCAGCCACAGTAGAACGACAGCTGAGCTGTGCTAAACGCGCCGTTGTTGGTGATTGGACAGCCGGCCACTACTCCATGTATTCTGTTGGCAAAACGAGGTGTATTTCTTTGTTGATGTCGGACTCTTTGTTTGGCCTTTGTTCTTCTTGTCCGCAGCTGTTTCGAGTTGTATGTTTGAATGTACAAAGCTGTGATGTTCTTTATAATTGAAGATATTTTTTGATAAACAAAAAATTATTGCACTTTAGACCCCTTTCAGACACGTCAAGTCTTGATTTCAAGTCTGTCAATGGGCGGCTAACAGCGGACTTGTCTTTAATCCTGACGAGATGGAACTGATCTCATTCACTAAAATGTAAAACAACATTCTTGAAGACGCTTCCCTTGAGCTTTATGGTAGTAGATGGGGTTCTCATCTATTGAAATCCGCTAAAGCATTTCGACGAATGTATCAAAGCTTAACAGATGAGAGCCAAATCGCCGAATTATGCTTCCAGATTACTGAATATCCTGGCTGCCGTTTCGAAAACGCCTTACTTCAGCAAATGGTGAAAGGACGCTCTGCTACAGAATTCGGTTGAAGACGAAGAACGCCCTATCCGAGAATTTGGTCCAAAAACGCCCTATCTCAGAAGCCGCTTTGAAAACATCCTGTCTCAAAATAAATTCAATATACCGGCAGCTGGTATAGGGGGATCTTTCACTCAGCCAACGATATGAACCATTTGCTGAGATAGGGCATTTTTTAACCAAATTTGAAATGGAGCGTCATTTGCTGAGATAGGCCGTTTTCGAAGAGGCAGCCGAGATAGGGCGATCTTCTACTCAGACGTCGATGTAAGGGTTTTACGGCAAAGCTACGCTAGTCCAATGTGTGGATTCTATTAGAGAGGTCAACATTTACTCTGATAGAAGAGCGAAAATCACGGCCTCACTCGTAAAGTACTCGAAATTGTCCAGGAAATGTTTGGCTTCTCTTTCGGTTGCGTCAGAATATTTACTAAATATACGCACATATAAATAAGTATTAGGATGTCGGGTATATTACCGAAAGCTGCAGCGCTGTCGAACTTTTTTAAATTTCAGATTTTATTTAAATAATAAATTATATTATACATATATGGTCGTTGCATGTCAAACGGACCAGCATTTACGTAATACTAAATATTCAATTCTGCCACATTTTATTTGATGTCTTTTGACATGCTTTACGTTGATTTCCATCCCATAGAATTTTGGGCCGAGAATTTTGTTCGTTTGACAATTAATTAATTTTGTTCTTTCTTTTTAAATTTTATTTATTTTGCCTTTTTTAAATTTCATTTAATTTTTCCCTTTTTTATTTAGTTTTGTTTAATTGTTAGCTTTTATTGGTTTAAGAAAGCAACATGTGTTATTTTAAATTTTTTTTTTTTTAAGAATTTATTTATTTTTTCTCTTTTAATTACATTTTTGGTCTTTTTTAATTTATTTTAATTTTCTTTTTTTTAATTTAATTTTCTTGTTAATTTTAGATTTTATTGTTTAAAAAAATGTTTTTGTTTTTAATTTCATTTCATTTTTAAAAACATTTTTTACTTAAACTTTTACTTTTTTTAATTGTATTTATTTTTCCTGTTTTAATTCAATTTTATTTAATTTTTAGATTTTATTGGTTTAAGAAGCAAAACATATTTTTTCAATTTATTTATTTTTTTCTACTTTTAAAGAATTGCCTTGTTAGACATTCCGACTTCAATCAATATCTAGTAGCATTTACTGTCGGTGTGAAAGAGTTTCTTTTTCTTAATACTTCTGTATCGATTTATTGCCGGAAATAGCAGAAAAATTATGAAAACTGAACGTTGACTTGTAATCACTTTGAGCCAGGACAATGCACTTTAGCTGGTTGAGTCAGTGATTTTCATCTCGCAGACAAAAAAAAAACGATGAATCATCAACCAGTGTCATCTAATCCTTCTCTATTTAAAAATTAATACCCCCTTCACTGGTTCTTATTCAACGAAGAAATATTGATTATTTAAATATATTCGTATTTAGTATGTAGGCGTATTTACATTAAGAACAAATAATTTACAACAGCTGGGCGCTATTTCCAAACTACATATGTACATATGTACATATGGACACACTTATTGAATTGGTTTAATGCCTCTCGCGTTTTTCCAATTTCGCCATTTCAACATAAATCAGCGTAATCAGCACATCATTTGGTAAATTTTAAATGCCGAGCGCGTACATACCGAGTAAATTGTAAAATTTATGGATTTGGCAAAATCATGTATATTTAAAGGGAACTTCAATATACATACATACATATGTATACATATATGTGTGTACAGTGCTTTATGTACAACAAAACCATTTTTGGATATTTGGCAATATTCAAACTTCATTTGAATGCAATTCATGGGGATCATTTGTATGATTCTTGAGAATAGTTTGAAGATTTATGTACTCGTTATTTTTTACGTTTGCTTGACGGAAATTTAGGGCATGAGCTGCAGCTGAAATGTAATGTCTTTTTTTATGAAATTGTTTGCGCTCGGTTTAAATCCACTCTACTGAGGCAGAGAAGGTATTGCAAGGGATAGAACAAGGGATGGGATGGCGGCCATGGTCGGGATTAATATTACAATTAAGAAGCAAACTGTTACACCTTGTTTTTCGATTCACTATTTTCAAAAATAACCCCAAGAAGCTTACAAAAGGTTTACGACAATCATTTTTTATTTTTTTTATTTATTTTTTTTATAGAAACTCGATGTTAGAAAGTTTTCCGTTAAAGGAAAATGTTAAATTTTAATGGAATTGTGCAGGTTAGGGTCAAGTGGTAGTCCCTGGTGAAATTCACTTAAACTCAAGGCCCCCAAAAACCATTTGGTACTCCGCAAAAAGTGGATAAATACTGTTTACTGTGGATAATACTATTTAGTAGCCCTTGATCTAAGGACATTCAAATGCTCAAAGACACAGCTACAATGCGATTTTGCCCTCCGCTAGTTCCGGGCAACAGCATCCCGCTGGCCCTACTTTCCAGAAACGATATTCCACGGACGATATTATTTGAAAAGAGGTTTAGTATAGAAGCATGTAGCTAAGCAGTATAGAGCGCCTCCATTCTGGAAAGACGTCTTCAAAGTAATAATTCGCACTGGTACACAGACGGCTGAAAAAATCCCGGGGCATATGAGCAGGAGACTATGCGCAGAGCAGGGATATCTATGTATGCCATTGGGTAGGTTCAAATACGCCTAGAGAAGAGCTCGGGAATGAGAAAAGAGCAATGAAAGAACTGCACTAGCGCTTTTCATCACGATTACGTTAGAAAAAGAAAAGATTTATACCTCTAAAAATTTCTGAAAGTAGGATTTAAGAACTGCCACAATCTTTCTTGCAGGACAGGGTCGCTTGCACAAATTAGGCTTTTGATCAAACGATTTCGCATTCGGTCATTAAGACAACTCGACACCTCTACACCTTCTAGTGTAATGTGATGCCATTTCCAGAAGCCGAAAGAGGCACATAGGCCTAATGTTATATTGAATACCACCGCAAAGTATCCTGTCGCGTTTTGACCCTACATGGATGGTCCTCTTCCCCTAACCTCGTCTTATCTTCGTTCTCTCTCTTGAGGAAAGTCGGATCATGGTAGTGCGACGTGTTCGTTGTAGGAACAAACCAATTCAAATTATAATCAAAAATAATGATTGAAGCTACTTAGATAAGGACAAAATATGTGTCTGTATTTGGCATTGATAGGGATCGGCGAAAAATCTATCGATGTGTCATAAAACAGTGATGTGCTTTGAGAACTGATAGTAGAAAACCGGCACGTAACATATACTGGCAATATTGGACTTAAGCATGAGAACCGTCACGTTTTAAAAAGCTTATGACTCAATCCGCTCGTCATAAACCTCTGCAAGAGCTGTTAAAGAAAAAGGCCAATAACCGAAAATAAAGATTCCAAAATAAAGAGAAACGAA